CTACATTCCAATGACAGAAAATTGTCTATTGCCCCATATAAAGGTATTTGCCTATATTCCATATTTTTTCGAGTTCGCAAATGGGCCTTCACTGGCAGATATTTGGCAATATATATTTTTGATATTTTCATGGTATCATGGATATTTTGCTCATTCCAAAATTCGTTCTTTTCCAACATTTTGTTGGCGAATTCTATTTCATTTCGTTTGCCAATTTTTAGATATTTATCTACTGCCTTATTCCTCCATGGCAACACTGTGCTAGATTTCGGTTTTATTACGTTGTAGAACTAATGCAGTATTACTCACTCATGTGGCCTTACTTGACTTTGTTTGTTTTTTTTTTTTTTTTTTTTTTTTTTTGCCTTTTTGGCCAATATAATTTCTTTGGAAACATTTTTGCTGTCGTTCCGAAATAATAGCGGAGAGATGGTGTGGTTTGTCCTTTATTCATTCTGTTATTGTTGTTTGCAGCGCGTAACCGTGGCAAATTTGAATTTAAATAATTTGCGTGATTATATATGTCTTGTATTTTTTGGTTAAGTGGGGTGAGGGGGCTCTCTTTGGTTCGTTGGTGGTGGTGGGGAAGTACAACCTCACTTCTCCATTAAATTTTCATCCCTTGTGTGTGCACAAGGAAAACGAATTAAATTTTACCATCTCCCACCTCCTACCCACTACGAAGCGAATAACATTAGCTAATCTATAGCCACCCAACTCCCCCCCGGTATTCCATGCCATTAGAGTTTTGAACACAACTCCCTTTACTATACCACCCATCTACTACCCCCAAATCTTTGTTGGGAAATTGGAGCATACCGAAACATATATATGTGTATATATTTCTTCAACAGTTTGTATGTGTGTTGGGGTAAAAAACAGATGTGGAAATGTGTTTTTTTTATTATTTTCTACAGGAGTAGACTTTTTGTCGTTGCCATCGCCACCGTTTCCCCATTCGAGTTTTTGGTTGTCGGGGGAGAAAAAGTACCCAATATGAAATGGCAAATTGGTAATTGAGAGCCAGTTTAATTAACAGCGGCGGTGTGTTGAAGGATATTTGTGGAGTTTATGTCACTCACCACCACTGCGCGCCACCAGCCACCATTAAAATGGTGGTGTTTGGTGACCATGCTTTAATACGCTCGATGTCTCACCTTAGTGTGGTGTAGTTTAGTTTGGTTTTCTTCTACCTCGTCAGACTAACTACAGGTAATGGTAATGGACACTTTACATTGCTTTTTTCATGCGTTTTTTTATTGGGACAACCAACATACGATACTGTTGTTGCACCCCAACTAGCCGATCTTTGTGACCAAGCTAACCATCCCCACCTCTTCCCCCTTTCTCCCATTAGCCCTCCACTTCAGTTTTCTCGCAATCTTTGCGAGTTTTTGTTTTCGCTGTTGCCAAAAAAAATTTGGTTTGGTTGTTGTACCATGCCGCCGCCGCCGTCGCCACATTTGCGGGCGCTGTTAGAAAAGTCTCCTCGTGTCTTAAGATTATGGCTGATTGTGATTTTGTGTGTGATTGTGTTTGTATGAGTCTCAGATGGATGGATTTGTCTTGCTCGCTCACACGCATGACTGAAATCTTGAGGTTTATTCTTCTTCCAGTGTGCAGACTTTTTAGTCTTGCCGAGCTGCTAAATAATAATGTTAATGTTAGTCGCCAACCGCGACTGCTGCTAATATTCTTGTTGTTCTTGTAGTTTTCAAGTTTGTTGCTGCTTTGCTTTGTTTCTTTTTCAAGAATTCTTCTTTGTTTTTGCGCTACTTTGTTCGCTAAGATTCTTATGAGCCGGCAAAAAAACAGCGAACATAAGTTGTTGCCCCTCACTTTGTGAGCGGTTTTCTTTTTTTTTTTTGTATTTTTATTATTGGAATGTACATTTTTAATACTTCTCCCCCCGAACGCCGGCCTGGCCTGTCTGTCCACTACTTTCATATTATTTTAGCTTTGTTTAAGTGGTGGTCGGTCGATCTCTGTGTATAATATGCCGCGCCGTCTATTTGTCTGACGTTGAAATGATGACGATGTTGTAAGCCTGTTTTCTGAGGTTGCACACAAATGTTAAATTCCCATTCTATATTTTCTCCTTGGTTACATCAACACAATATGGGTCTTTTTTCTTCTTCTTCTCCTGCTGCCCCCCTATAATTGTTTTATGGCCCAACCAATCATGGAGGCTTGTGCCAGCATTTTTTTCCTTTTGATTCAATGCTGCTGCTTTTGGATGTGATTTATAATTTTCCGCATTTCCTTTTCCATTGCGTGGCGGCGGCATCGGCAGATGGTGGTGATGTGGTGGAGACCTTTATACCTATTTTGTTTTTCTTTTTGTTCTTCTACTGCTGCGCCTGTCTGTCTGTCTGTTTCATGCATTCATGTTTGCATATTGGCGACTGAGTGTAAGTGAAAGGGTTTTCTTTTTGTGCTGGCTGGCTGGTGGCAGGCTGACTGACTGACTTTTCCCCAGCCAGACAATTGCGTCACGAGTTGCTGAAATTATTGAAGGTCATAATTTGTATTCTAAACTTCTTTTAGCCTAGTTTATTTGAGTTGTCTGAATAGAGAGGGAGGGAGGAGAGAGGGAGGACGGCTTTGAGTCTGCTGTTGGTTGGAGTAAATTGTTTGCCCTACGAAAGGGTGATTCTATAAGAGCTATACAAAAGTTTTTCAAAAAAAAAAAAAAAAAAAAGAAAAACAGGGTTGGGCACATCTTTTTATTTTAATCGATAGAATGGTCCATATAATTGAATGTTTAAGGATGATTTCATGCAAATGTTGACTGCGACTGGGCCCTTTAAGGAGTGTCCATCCGCTTAGCCCAATTTTGGCATACTGTTTGCTCATATAAATGCTTCAATGTTATCTTCCAATGTATTAATTGAAGCGGGTTCGTCCGCATCAACATGAGCGTGCCGTCTTATTGAAGCCACATGTCATGCATTTCTTGTATGGGCGAAAAAAAAAATCGGATATCATCTCAAGGTAGCACTCTTTGAAAAAATGCCCAACCAGCCCTAAACCGCACCAAACTGTGACCATTGGTAGCTTTTGCAAATCTTCTGCCTGATTTTCACTCTGAAATCGACAATTCTGCTTATTAACGGGTTGTACCCATTCAGCTTAAGATAAACTTATAGGCCACACAGAAGAAGTTTAGACAAGAAGAAGTTTTCACTCTTTGCCCTTGAGCACTGTTTTAGTTTAAATTGCCCATAAATAGTTATTCCTCTTACGTTGTTGTTATAACAGCTTCACATGGTTTGTTGATTCCTGCTAATCAGGCTCTAGCTCCAGGTTGAGGAATTCGGTCTGAATCCAAAGATCTTCTAGATTCAGTGGTGGGGTAGATTTGCCAGGGCAATTAAATAGGTGCAGCGCATTGTGCGATCCTGTATCATACGCCTTTTCCTCAAATCGTGCCCAATCCGAATTGAGGCTACTGCACCATTCTGAACGTAACTGCGCCAAGGAAAACCACCCTGCTTTGTCTAGGCAGCCGGTATTCTTCAGCTGTGGTGGATCTGCGACTACATCAGTATGAATGCCACTCCGATCTGTCTGATAGGCTTATTGATCTAGAGGCTCTCTCATATAGCGATGAACCTTCCTCGAGCTCATGTATGTCCTTCCTGATGCGCATGGGGTATGCTGACGTACGAGAAAGACCTCATGTAGACGATTCATTGGTGTCATGAGGCAACCTGTCACAGTTCTCATTGCAGCATTCTGGCAGGTATGGATGTTCCTTTACTGAGTACCACTTATATTTCACAAACCACACTGGGCCGCATTGCTGGGCCGCAGACCTCGACCTATCGCTTTATAAAGAGGTCATCGAGGTTTCCTTGTCCGCACCCCAAGTGCTACCGGTTTGTGCCTTTTCATTTTGTCGTAGATAGCTGTGTAGATACAGCAAGTTGTAAAGAATCGCTGACTTTTCGCAGATTAAAGAAAAAAAAAATCGAAAATTGTGACCAGAAGGGGTCCGCAGATATATACCATCTTCACAACAGATTTTGTATTACAAAAAATGTTTGGAATGTTTTAAATTTAAAGAGAACCGGATATTAATTTTGCTTTATTTGAGCGTTTCGGTTTTCAAAATCTTGAAACATATGGGGGGGGGGGAGATACCAAAAGGAGCGCGCTGATATATCCCATCTTCATAATGGGATGTGTGAAATTTAAGAGAACTGGGTGCTTATTTCGAATTTTATGATCGTTTTGGTTATTCAAAATTTTGACCCTTTGTGGGGGAGGTACTTGATGGATTTGACCGATATTGTCCATTTTAGCACCTGACGTAACACTGATGGAAATATTAGGATTTGCAAAGTTGGAGCAAAATCGTATAATCCTTTCTCCTTCTGTGTAATAAATTATTTTCTTTGAAAATGTTGACATTTTGTGGGGGAGGTAACAGAAGGAGTGGATCGATATTTGACCATCTCCGAACTTCATCTGAGTTTGGCAATAATATTACGATGAACCTACCGGAACCGGATACTCCATTCGATCTCACCAGCCAGACAGAAGGACATCGCTAGATCAACTCCAAATGTCCTGAAACTGGTTTGGTCTAACGATACCTAGGATCTAATACCATTTTTTCAATGAGGCACGTTTTGGCCGTATCAAATGATATATACTCTCTGTAGCCGTATGGCTGTGGGTATAAAAAACCTTTTTTGGTTCACGTTGATTTCCAAACAGGAAAGTCCTCTAATTTGTAATTTTAAAGATAGATAACAACGCTTTAAGGTGAGCTGTGTGAATAAGCATGCATAACATTTTTTTATTATAATACCACTCCCATAAATGCTACACCCTTGTTACACAAAAATAACCCTACCCTACCAAACCCACTATGGGTTTTTACTCCACGTCTTTACCTGATTGAAAATAATTTGTCCACCATAGAATAAAAAACATGTTTTTTTTTCATTTAAATTAATAATCTCTTTTTTCTATTTTTTCCCCTCTTTCAGAAATGGTTGAGGCCATGAAAAAAGTTGCCTCCATGGATGTGGAATTAACCGTTGAGGAGCGTAATCTCTTATCGGTTGCCTACAAAAATGTGATTGGCGCACGTCGTGCCTCATGGCGTATAATTACCTCAATTGAACAAAAAGAGGAGAATAAGGGTGCCGAGGAGAAATTGGAAATGATCAAAACCTATCGCGGACAAGTCGAAAAAGAATTACGCGACATATGCTCGGACATATTAAATGTTTTAGAGAAACATCTCATTCCATGTGCCACCACAGGCGAAAGCAAAGTATTCTACTATAAAATGAAGGGTGATTATCATCGTTATTTGGCTGAATTTGCCACCGGTTCGGATCGCAAAGATGCGGCCGAAAATTCATTGATTGCCTATAAGGCAGCTAGTGATATTGCTATGAATGATTTGCCACCAACACATCCAATTCGTTTGGGTTTGGCGCTTAACTTTTCGGTAAGTGGAAAATTACATTTATAATATCTTGGTGGTGAATAAGTTTTTTATTTCTTGTTATTTGTTATTATTATTTGGAAAATGTAAAAGATGTTGTCAAAAAAAATTCCGAGCCTAGGGTACTCCTCACAAGACTCCAAATATGACCGTCTTTAGAGATGTTCGAAATGTCTTCTATCTCCAAAGGGAGCTAAAAGTCTTCTCATATCACATATGCAAAAAATCGTATGAAACTCCAAAAGATCTTCTGTCAGAACTTCAAATCGACTGATCATAGAAGTTTCAAATGATTGAAAAATTTTCTCACGGAAGTCCAGGGTTCTTCAAATGTTTTCAACTATAACCAATAAAGAGGCACTCTTACAAGAGTCCAAATTAGGTCATTCTGTAGATGATAAAACTTTTTGTAGAATTCCAAACGAAAATGTTGCTTCTCATGGAAGCCAAAAAGTTTTCTTCAATGAAAACGAAAAGCTATTTTCATAGAAGTCTAAAGATAGAATTGATCTACCGATAATTGAGGCTCTTAAACCACAATAAGCTATTAATCAACTGCTTCCAAAATTTCTCTCTTTGTTTTCCATCAAAAACAAATAAATCGGAAAAAGTGAGGGAAGTTTTCTCCTTGAATATAAATACCATTTCTACTCACCCTTTACTTTTTACCAATCAAAATTCCCAACTAATTTCCAAATATTCCTATTTTTCCAGGTATTCTATTATGAAATTTTGAACTCACCCGATCGCGCCTGCCGTTTGGCGAAAGCAGCATTCGATGATGCCATTGCAGAACTTGATACATTAAGTGAAGAAAGTTACAAAGATTCCACACTTATCATGCAACTGCTGAGGGACAACCTTACATTATGGACATCGGATATGCAAGCCGATGGTGAGTTAACTGAACTGAAAAAATAAAATCTTACATTGAGATGCAATATTTATTAAATACTCGTTTTTTTTAAATTCTTTTCGCAGGTGATGGTGAACAGAAAGAACAAATCCAAGATGTTGAAGATCAGGATGTGTCGTAATTTAAGTAAACCCCCCACAAAAACAAAAAAAAAAAACAAAAACAAATCCTTAAAAACAAAACAAAAACATACCCCCTAAAAATACTATTTGCATTTCTTATTTTTAAAACTACAACAACAAGAAACAGAAAAGGAAACTGTTCTCCTCCAGTTACTACACCCAACTGCAGCAAACACCACCCACACAACTACAATCCCCCAGAAACAAACAATTCATATAATTCATGGCTCCCTTCTATATTCCTCCCCACCCACCCAACCACTCTCTCCAAAGCAACAAGTACATATAATTAATAAAAACTAATTTTCAATTCGGAAATACCAGAAACAACCCTCTTTTTTCATCTTCTCGTTTTCTTTTTGTATTAATTAAATCAATCAGTCAGTCAGTCAGTGAGTCAATAGATCGTTTATCGATCCTGCAGATGCATGTTTTTTTCTACAACAACAACAACTACTATTATTATTATATTATTATTATACATATGTATTTTTTAAATGTAGTCATTACAATTAAATGTAATATTCTATATTTTCCACTTTTTATAGAGGTCACATTTCTCATTCGATTCTTAAAAACAAAACAAAAAAAAAAGCAGTAAAAAAAGTAAACAAAAATGCAGGAAACCCTAGGGTTTTCTGCTCCCACTCCACCACTCTCTAAATAAAAGCAAAAAATTCAGCTCGTTGTCCTTATTATTTTGCGACAGGGTGCTGATACCCTGTGTCAGCAATTTGCAGCCGCCAACCCCATTCTCCAATAAAAATTACGTTCTCCACCACCACCACCTCTTTCTCCCACACTCCATCATTTCTCAATGTGTGAAAAAGAAAAGCATTTTTTTGCATTAAAATATATAATAAAAATTAAATAATAAAAAATATTAAAAAAGTAAAAATTATATATTAAATAAAAACAACAACAAGAATAAAGAACAAACAAACCAACATCTGGAAAAAATACATCAAAAAATAAACAACAAATAAATAAAAAAAGGAAGGAAAAACAAACAAAGAGATACTATCATTTTTTTTTAACATTGATGAGAGAGATTATAGAGCAATTGCGCAAAGTGAGAACAGAAATTGAATATTTGACACAAAACACACACACACACATACACACGCCTGTCTCTCCCACATTTTCCAATCCCCACAACCTACCAATCAATAAACCAACCAACCAACCCAACAACAGCCAGCAAAAAGATGAAGAAGAACAGTCATATAAAATTACATAAAAAGAATTTGATAATTAATAAAACAAAATGCTACGAAACACACAATAAAATAAACAAATTTATTATTAATTTCGTATATGTCGTAGTAGAAGAGAAAAAAAGTTCTTTAATTTTAAAGACTTCGGCGGGAATGATGCCGTTTTGCCGCCGGTTTGTTGTGATAAAATCTATCAGTCTATTATGGTTGAACGGAGTCGTCGTACGGACGGGGCCTGTCCTGTCTGTCGTGCCACTCACTAATATTAATGGTGGTGTTATTAAAGGAGGAAAGATCGTTGCAGATTTTGAAAGAAATGACACTATTTTTGCAATGGTGGACAAAAAATTGTTAAATTTTAATTTTTCAAAATGTTACAAATGGTGTGTCATCGTGTTCATTGACTGCGATCATTAGAAGTCCTGTCGTTTAACAACGACAACATGTCAAACGTTAAAAAAGGGGGGTGAATTGAAGGTAAAACAGCAGGAGGAGAAAAAGGAAATCATGGAAATATAAACTATTTCTGCAGACATTCCATGATACTGAGAAGGATAAGATGATATAAGGTGGTGGGTGGGACAAAAAGCATAGAAATATTTGTTGGGAAGGGGGAGGGAAGTCGTTGGACACATTAGAATACAAGATTTACATTGCCCTTAGCCCAAAATTTATTTTGAGTCGAATTCATTGTTTTCAGCGATTGTGAGAGAGAAATGTGATGCCGAATGGCCGGCATGTCGTACGTGCCGTTTTCTTTTTTCTATATTTCTATCCAAAATTCTAAACGATATGTAGGGGGGAAAATGCATCCTATCCCTGTAAAATTTGATGGAAGTGGTTCCAGATGGTCGAACAGAAAACATAGAAATATTTGTTTGGAAAGAGGGAGGAAGCAAATAAATTTGATTCGTAAGTCTCTTTGGACCAGATCTGTTTCAGGATATTTGGAGTCGATGTAGCGATGTCCGTCCGTCCGTGCGCATGATAACTCTCGTAATATTATTGTCAAACTAAGATCGAGCTCGAAGATGGGCAATATCGGTCCACTCCTCCGGTCCACTACACCCTGGGGTAATTTTAACTCCTCTCATAAATTCAGTTCTATTCAGGGATCGCGAATTGCAATATTTGTATTATCTTTAGATACACAAATGTTGAAATGTCCGATTTTGAATGCGAGAATTTCTCCTAAGGTAATAATTCCATGATTGGGATCGAAAAATGTGGTCATCACTTGTTGCAGTGATTGAATATCTTGAGGGGGACTACATGGATGGATGCGTGGCGTTTTGAGATTCTGGGAGTAGAACATAGTTTTTACACACAGAGGAACTGCACCCGAAGGTGTGGAGATGTGGGCCTTGCCTCCTCATAAGTGAATGAATTACATATGAACGAGGAAGGCCCTTCTTGAGGTTGACAGAACTCTATGCTTTCACTGTAATATGTACTCTTGGATGTTAACGTCGTGGACATACAGAATGTCTCCACTTGGGTAGGTTTGGCTTTGCAATTAAAGATGTGCAGCATATTGTGCCGGCCTATATCACATGCCGGGCAGACGTCACGCACATCTTCGTCAATTCGTGCCCATTTCGGGTTGTTATTTTGGAAATTTCTTTTTCGAGTGGGCGAGATCGAGGCCTTTTTTATAATATACACCTTGGGCGAGATAATCATGTTATGTAGGTGTCGAATATTTGCCAAACTTGATTTCGATGCATTTGCTTGCTTGTTGATCATTTAGCCTGAAATGTTGTGGTATAATATGATGAATTGAAAGGGGAAGAATGTGTTAGCTGTGGAAGTGAAATTAACGACATGAATGAAAGGAAAGGAAAGATGTCATGATTTCAGGATTTTCCCTTTTTATTTTCTTTGAAATTAAATTTCGATAGAGGTGTTGTTGATTTTTCAGCCAAGTTTCCAGCTAAATCGCTTGGAATAGAATGCAACATTGTTTGAAGGAATCTTAAGTGATTTTATTTTCTATGAACTCAGAAGAGCGGCGTAGTTTATTTGTAACGGCCCCGCCAGACTTCCTAACTTTTTTTTACTGGTTTTATTTAAGCATGTAGTTTCCTGCTTATGGTAGAAGAATACAGGTAGATGCATCAACGCTTGGGAATATTGATATGTCAAAAATGTTTAAATGTTTCTTCAAAAATAAGTAGATTTGTATATGTTTTCCTATACGACGCCAACCCGAGGTTGTTATGATATACATTTTTTTAACACTTATTACAAATTTGAATAATTTTTTATTGAACATTTTCAATTCCAAAATCGGTTTGACAGTTTCTTGTCCCTTGTATTCTTCTACCATGTTCCTGCTAAAAATAAGTAGACTAATGAATGAATAGACCATATAATACTAATTTTGTCTTGTTATCCAGGGCAGATCAGACGACATCTGCTGTTTCTAATCCCGTTGTCATTATATTCCTTATTCTATGGCATCTTGTTTTGTTTTCTTATAATAGTTTAAGATTTTCTCTTTATTGGCATTCCAAACAGGAGCCGCGCGCTCTCCCTTTGAAAATTCTCAGAGAGAGAATTCTTTGTCAATGCATTAATTTGACGTCTCTGCAGTTGTGTCTCTGTGTGAATTTCCTTGGGGACATTTGAAAAGTTATTCCATTTATTTTTTCTTGGAAGGAAAACAAGCTTGACTGGGTTCTCTATATAGATCTAATATAATTTCATTTAAAACACACATACCAGACACATACACACCAAAAAGCGATAACAAAGCTACACACGCCGAACCCCTTACAAAATAACTCTCTTTTGTTTTGCATTGATTTATTACATTAAGCTTTTGTGTAGTGAAGAGTTTATAAAAAAACAAAATACCTATAGTTACAAACAATGATGAACAGAAAACATGGTAGTGTATATTAATTATAATTAATATGAAAATAACAAAAATCCGTACACAAATTATAAAATATTTACTTTTACACTTCACTTCAAAAACAACAGCTCGCATTCATACAACAGACAAACACCTACACACACAGAGAGAACACTTCAACTTCATAATTCTCATAACGACAAAACAGAACATAAATTAAAATAAAAAAGAAATGAAAATAATACGAGCATATAATTACAGCAGCGTATCACACTTTGATCATAAGAATATATTTAAATAAATAAAACAAAAAACAACAAACGACAATTCTTTTCCAATAAAAAAACTTAGAAAAAACCGAAATTTTGTCTGGTAGTTTCTTTTTCTGGCCCGGCCAATATTTTATTTTCATTCATTAATACTAAAATCTCCATTATTGCGGAATCTTCATCTTTGAGGAATCAATCATTCAGAATGAAGTTCCAGCCAAATTCCTCCAATAAGTTTTGACGCAATAACAATCAACTCTCCTCAGTTGTGGTGTTATAATGTGTGGCTATATTTCATTCATAAATACTTGGTATTAATTAAAAGTCCTTAATACTAAAAACTTATGCTAATAACATTTATTGGTTGTCATATTTTGTGTCAATTTTTTTTTTGTTTCAAAATAGCGAGTGTTCTACACTCTTCACTGCTTCGGTTGTAGGCGTACGAGGATTTGCTGCAAATATGAGGCCTGTGATGGATATATGTTTTCCAGTATTTTTTGGTAATCTTCCAGAGATTTCAGGACACGCATCTGCAAGATATATAAACACATTAATTTAACGAATTGAGTTTTTGTTAACCTAAATTGCTTTCATTTTTCAAATGTATTAAATCTAACATTTATTATCATTTTTAGCAATAATTGTTGATAATAAAAGGTTAGGCTCTTATGTCGAGTTACTAGAAGGAGTGGTCAATCAATTCCACATTTACATCGTACCTCTGTTTAAGGGAAATACTTAGATATGTCAAGTTGGGAAAAGAATCGCTAACTGGTTTCGCAAGTTATGAGAGTTATAAGTATTGAAAATTGTGACCCTTTGTGTGGAAGGTACCAAAAGGGATCTATCATTTTCACACCAGATCTTGTGTTGCAAAGAATATTGGAATGTACGAAATTTGAAGAGAATCTGATGCTTACTTTTCATTTTATGAGTTTTTTGGTTACTCAAAATTTAACGCGTTTTAAGGGAGGTACCGGATGGAGTGGGCCGATACAGACCAGATCTTGTGTCAGCAATAACATTAGGATGTGCGAATTTGGACAAGAATCGGATGCTTATTTCGCATTATATGAGAGTTTTGGTTATTCAAAATGTTGACCCCTTTGTGAGGAAGGTCCCATAAGGAATGGGCCCATATATCCCGTCTTCACACCAGATCTTGTATTGGTTTCTACCAATCAGGATGTGTGAAATTTGAAAGTAATCGAACGATTATTTCGCATTTTATGAGTGTTTCAGTTATTCAAAATTTTGACCCCTTTGTGAGGGAGGTCCCATAAGGAATGGACCCATATATCCCATCTCCACACCAGATCTTGTATTGGTAGAAATATGGGGATATGTGAAATTTGAAAAGTAATCAGATGCTTATTCCGCATTTTATTTCGCGTTTTGGTTATTCCAATTTTGGACCCTTTGAGGAAAGGTTTCATAAGGAATGGGCCCATATATCACATCTTTACACCAGATCTTGTATTGGTAGAAATATCTGTATGTGCGAACTTGGACGAGAATCGGATGCTTATTTCGAATTTTATGAGCGTTTTGATTATTCAAAATTTTAACCCCCTTTTGTGAGGAAGGTCCCATAAGGAATGGGCTCATATATCCCATTTTCACAACAGGTCTGATATTGGTAGAAATATGAAGAAATGCGAAAATAATCCGAATGCTTATTTCGCATTTTATGAGCGTTTTGTTTATTCCAAATTTTAACCACCATTTTCAAACCAGTTCTTGTTTTA